ACACATCATTTGACATTGTGCTTTGATAGGGAGTATATCATTACTTCTATTGAATAATAAAGCATAAAAATTAAACTTTAAATTATTTGTGTTCTCTAAATAAAGGAAAGTTGGAAATGCATTTAAAATTTAGCAAAAATGTTTTCTGGTGACTTCAAAAGTTTTTGCTGTAGAATGAGAGATGAATAACCAAAAATATCTAAGAGGAAAGAGGGACTCTTTACAATTTATCTTCACTTGTACCTCCCTATATGTAGCCAGAAAAGTTTCAGTGGAAAATTAAGAGTAGTAAAGGAAACAGAAAAATATAACCCATCACTGTGGAATTAACTTGCCCTTCTCTTAAATCCTCCATGCCTGTGATACCATTTATTACACTATAAAACATCAGTGGATGGTTTTCTTAGGCAAGGCTACCCAGGACTCAGTAGATCAAAGTTAGCTCTTTCACTGCCTCTTAATGTTTTATAATTGTCACTATTTTTAATGTTATTTTTCACTTCTTCATTTCTCAAAAGTGACATTAAAACTCATCCATTGAGAACCTATGGGCAGTCTTACAACTGTATTGAAATAGTTTGACCTTTATACTTTCTAAGTAACAAAATCTTTAGGATTGTTTGGTTTCAAAAATCATTTAATTCTAGCTAGATCTAGTGAGATTTATCACCTTTTCAGAAACATTTGACTTTCACCTATTCCAAAGCACATATATTGGAGGTAAATAATGGCTGTCTTGATCTTCTTCCTATCCTTTGTATTCAGATTTGGTTTAGGTTTAAGTAAACTATACCTTAGAATGTCATATGTTGTGTACAGTTTTACACCATTACATATAATTATGACATTACACAAAGTAAAGGCATTCATCTGTCTAAAGAAAATATTAAATAACTAAAATAACTAAACACTGGAGTTAATATAGTATTGGAAATTTTATTTTTCTTTGAAGTTTTTGAAAACTGTAAGATAATAAATTCCTACCTTTAGTGACTTAAATTTTTAAATTTAATTTTCAAATCTTATAACAAATGGTGCTTTTCTGGAAAGAGCAATTGAAGGTAACATATCAGGCATCATCTGGATATGAGAAAATATCTTTCTGAAGTCTAAATTGGTAGCATGCTCTTACTCAATTGGACAGGAGCCTAAATGGTCATCATTTCCTGGCTCAAGTGTAAGGAGACAGAATTGGCACACTATGTATAGGTTTCATGGGATCCTCTGACATCTGATAGCCACAGGCTATGATGGAATTCAATCCCCAAAGAAAATGCAATGTAGCAATAAAACACATAGGGAGATGTTGATTTCTTTTTAAGTTTAAATCATGAGATAAATTTGTCCTCTATAAACAGAGGAATATAGATGCATATATGCCTTCACTAGTTTATCTCTGGTTTATATAGAGTCGCCTTTACAGATACATTAATGGCTCTACCATGAATTTTAATTGATGATATTTCTGAAAAAAACAAACAAACAGAAGAACCCTGACCATGTAAGTCATTATTGCTTCTGTTTGATGTGAGATACTCCCACGTAGGAGAAAGCTGGTGAACCTACCCAGAACAGCGGTTTTCTTCATCTGTGTATGGCTGAAGTATTAGAATGAGAAAAATTAATTGGGAATTTATCTTGGATCTTGGTTTGAGTTGTAAAACTGGACTGTAGACACAACATTTATCATAAAGTAAAAAATAATTGCTCTGAAATATGGCCATTTTTCATACTTATTTTCTTTTAGTTCTGTTTTTGATAAAGTAAAATACAAAGTGCAGCTTCCTGCAAGTATTTATCTACCACTTAAACTTACCTCCCTTCATATCTTAAATATGGTGTAGGAAATTCATTTACCCTCCCAGCCCACCCACCACTCACTTTTCCTTTTTCCTGAGTGGTGTTCTTTCTCCTGATTTTTTTCAAGATTTATATTTATTTTTCCCCTCTGGTATAAACCCTTGCTCATTTCTATTCTGGTTTCTACTTAGCACTTTTTCCTTTTAATTACATCTGCTATAAACACAGAACTAACAGGAGCCAAAATAGTTTCTGGTACTGCTTCTCTCATCTGTTTTCTGATGCAGAGTCTTCTACCTGCCTTTCAGGGAATCCTGCTGTGAACCAGCCTATACTATCTACCCTCACAACCCCTCCCTCTGCCCAGTGATTTTTTTCCAAAACTATGTTAGGCTAAGATGCTCTGATAGAATTATTCAGAGAAAATTGCTTTTAGCACCAAATCCAGCAGAAGAATGTGACTCATGTCTGATTCTCCCATGGGAGTTCCAGAATTCCTTCTTGACTTCTATGATTAGATAGCAAGTATCCATGGAATACAGACATTCACACAAATGAACATCCCTACATCCAAGGGGATTGACAATTGAGAACTTGAAGGCTTCATATCACAAAGAAAATATTACTTCATTTAATTCTTTAATTTTGAAATTTTCATCTCATTTTTTTATCCCAGTTAATGCTTACTGGGAATATGAAATGTCACATGAAAAGTGACTCCCTTAGCATATCCAATGACTGTTCTAAATCTTTGACATCTTACTTGCTTTATGGGTCTGAGTTATATAAAACACCAATCTTTTGCATAATTTCTGTTTGTTTGGATAGGAAGGAAGAAGAAGAAAGTTACTGATAGGGGAAAGTTCAAAATTGTTTTTTCAGTTCGTTTGAAGATGATTCAACACTGATTGACCTCATATTTTTAAGATGGTCCTTTGTTCCACTTAAGATTAGACTAGCACTGTCTAATGTACACATTATATAATGTGATTCATACATGCAATTTAAAATTTCCAATTAGCTACATTAAAAAATGGAGAGACAAATCGTAGAATTAATTTAAATAATATTTAATCTAATCTATCAGAGCTCAAATAGAGAAGCACAAGTAGAAAGAGATCAGAGGGACTCATTTATATGTTAAAAAATTATTACCAGGTGTTTAGTTATGTAATTGTAGAAAATGGTCAACCAAGTCTGAACCCACAGGACAGGCAGCCAGAACAGGAAGATCATAGGCAAACTTGAACTCATGGGTATGGATCAAAGCTGTGATCCACATAGAGAATTCATCTTTTGTCCTGGGAAAACTCAGGCTTATTTTTAAGGCTTCTCAATGGAATCACACAACCCACCCAAATTATTCAGAATCACCTTCTTAAATTCATCTGATTGAGGATTTTTACTATATTTGCCAAATATCTTTAAGTAACTCCTAGATTAGTATCCCTTGGAAAACACATAGGAGCCTAGCCACACTGATACATCTATAAAATTACTACCATCAATATATCCAAAATAATATCATTTCAAAATGTAAGGAATGTAAAACTAACAATATGTTTTACTTGCTTTTTTTAAAAAAAAAAAAACAAGTCTTCATAATCTAGTGTGTATTTTGCAGTTATAGTAAATATCCACTTGGACTAACCACATATCATGTGCTTAAGACTAACAGAAGTCTACCTGTCACTGCATTGACAATGTAGGTTTGGACAATGGCAAAGAGTTTATCTCTCTGATTATCATGTATTTTTAGAGGAGTGAGTCTCATCTAGGGTTTAGTTTGACTAGCAAGGGACATTTAACAACATATGAGGGTATTTTTCATTGTTCTGCCTGAAGGGTAGTGATGGGAGCCACTGCCATCTAATGCGGCTAGACATCCTAGAATGCACTCAGTAGCACTCCTCACCCTCAATTATTGACTCACCCAATCAGAAAAGACCATGGCACTAAACTGAGAAACCCTTCTATAGAGCAGAATTTGGAAATATTAGGGAATGAGAGAAAATTGTGAGAGAGGCAGGATGATGGAAGTTTCCAATGCTCTTTGGAACCTTTCCTTTCTTTACCTTGGAAAAAAATTTTCAGAAATGTGAATAAGCATCTCATCTTGTCCATATCTCTATGACCATATTCAAAGTCAGTGATGGGATGAGGGTGGGGGAATGACACTGAATAGTAGAGTGAATGATGCATGGAAAAAAATGGAAGAAAAACTATTCAATGATAGTTATTTCCATAACAAATGAGTGGAAGTTCATAGGTGCCCTTTTCTGAGGATATTTAGGGTTTTCCTAAGGTTAGTCTTCATTTCGTAGACTTCAGGAAAATTACAAAATGCAAATGAAAACTTACAAATGGAGAATTCAAATTGTGTACAGTAATTAGTACTGCCTCAGATCATCTGTGGAATGAAGTTGTGATAAATAAGTAAACCTCTAGCATTTTTTTTCTAAGAAAAACCATGATATTTAAGATTAAGTCATTTTCAGAGGTAGTAATCATATTTGTAAACCCTAATCTCAAATTTACTTCTATCCAAATTAACTACAAATTCAGAATAAACTTCATTTGCTAAGATTTGGCAATGTATGTATATGGAAGCTAGCAGCAAATTGAATATATTTGTTAAAATCTGATATTTGGAAAAGATGTACAGCTAACTTATTCAATGAAAAGTGTCATATCTGCTTGAAGTAATTATTGGGTAAATGCAATGCCAAATGCTGATTATAAACATAGCTTAGAGTCAATACTTCTGAGATATATTCTCTATTAGATAGCTGTTACAGTTCATTTCACAAATTCTTAATTTAATGTGTAAAAACAAAATCTTCCTAAATCTAAATGACATTATTATTGAATATTCTTAATTTGTATTGAGAGTAATTGAAATAAAGTGTAATTATAGTTTGTGATCAATTTTGTCACTAAAAATGATGACAACATATCTGTCAATGCAAATTTTAAAGCTTTTTCAAATAACTGATTTTGAGATGATTCAAATTTTTCTTTATTGAAGTAAATAAGTGATTTTTGTAGCTATATTTTACAAACTCTTTTTTAAAATATATCAAAAAGTTTATTAGACACAAGAACGTATACTTTATGATGAAATGATGAAATTTAGGTATAACTATGTTTTAAATTTTATACTTTAAAAAAATTAAATTATAAATTCTGTTTTTCCCTAGAAATACACAAAGAAAAGACTGAAAAGCAGGATAAATCTGAAAAGAAAATTCAAACTAAAGGTAATTGTTCAATTTTATGTTTATTCTTATTATTTCAGGATGTATATTTTGTGTATTCATATGGAAGAAAAACATGATTAATGTGGTTTTTTTTTAAACATTGTTGGTATTACTTTAATAAGTACTTTTACTCTATTAATTTGGGGTGTAAATATGTGAATAATATGTAACAATTGGAATTACAGTAACTTTAAAGTGTGTGACCATCTTTACATTATTTGCAGCTGTTTTTTCTTATTAAATGACAGCACAAATAAATTTTTTGACTTGAACAAACACTTTTCTTTTGTTAATAAGTTACTGTGAGTCAGAGCTCAATTTTTCTTTAACCTGAATTTCTCTGCCATGGGATGCCTTTACATTCTTTGGTGTAGAAATGCAGAGTCATTATGTTCCCTCACTGCAGAAGGCCACTTCCCTACAGCTTTCCTCCCTAGCCTCAAGACTCGATGGACAATGACTACAAGATGATTAATATCCCTTTTCACTGAACTGACTCCAGGAACTGAAATCTTGCAGTAGAAGCATTTTAATAATGGCCAGATTTACCTTACTAATCTGACACTTTTTTATGGGTTGCCTATGTCGTCATAAAACTTCACAAGAAGTTTTAGGAAGCAAGGACAATCAGAAGGTTGTGTTTCTAAGCATACTCAGGTTTTCCAAATACATGATTTTGGAAGAAAATTAAGAATTTCCTAATTACCATAGTTGTATGATCAAATAAAAAGTAAAAAAATTTCTCTGGGATAAAAATTAAATGTGGTTCAATATTTTTCATATGAAAACAGGCTAATGCAAAATCTGTAGTAAATACAATCACAGATTGTAAAATTTCAAATAAAGGAAGTTCTAGTTAACCTTAAATGATATTGGCATGTGTATCTATATTACAAGGTCATGTTGTTGTTGTTTTTAAGTATACTTCATGTACTTCCTTTTTGTGAGGAGCTCAAATCATTCTTTAGACATTATGCCTTTAATCCTAATGCTTGAGTTTGTTCCAGTTTGGTCAGCCAATCCTTACACAGCACACTGAAGCTCACTTGATTGAAATCTATTTATATTTGTACTTAGGGAACTAACATCTTCTTACTGTTTCCTTTCCTTTTTTGGTTCTTAATTCCTTTGGTCAGGGAAATTGGACACAGCTTTTGGGCACTGATTGACTAAGGGAGGCATGACTGAACTGGCTGTGTATTTTTTTCCATTTGCTGTAGGTTAAATAGAAACTCAACCAGTTCCACATGATTGGGGTCTCTGCCGGTTTATCTTGAAGAGTCTACTATTAATTTAATTGCAGTGCTGTTGGGATGGATGTGGTGATGCAGATGGTACCATTTGCATTTTGGACCTGGCTTTTAGAATCTTGCTAACAAAGCCTTTGAGCAGTGGGCTGTAAAGTGGGTTTGTTAAACTAGTGAGTCTTCCATAATTAAAATAGTGAATTTGGCTGAAGTTTAAAATAAATTTCTCAAAGACTGGGCTGGTGATTAGTTACCTGACTATATTTCTTGAGTAGACCAAATCCATTTTGTGAAAGTGAATATATTTTTCAAGCAAGAGAAAAATGGGACTTCAGCTTAGCAACATTGAATGGGTCATCAAAGATAGTTCATCATTTTATTTCTCCACAGTTTTTCTGTATTAATGTGAATCAAACATTTCATTTTACTCCTCAGTTTCCTATCTAGAATCCAGGTAGATTAATACCCTCTCTGTAGACAAATTGTTCAGTGATGATGTAGTTTTATAACCATTGATACATGTAAACAAATACTGTATTCTGTATGCCATGTTTCATATTGGTTATGATTATATATGATGGATAGTTAGGAATGTAAATTGCTATTTAAGTATTTTGAACTCTTACAAGAAGGTAACAGTATAATTATTTGTAATGATTATAAACAAGACAACAACAAATATCAGCCTAAAAAGACTCTTTATGACTCTAAAGACTCTCAAAGACTCTAAGACTCTAAAGCTGGTGTGTTTTGTGCAGAAATAAATATTTTGATGCTAAAGGAACCTAGATAATACCCTGTTTTCGATTTTTTTTTTCCTTCTGGAGATTCCTATGGTCTCAGGGCTATGTAAATACTTAGAAAAGCTTTGGAAATCTATACCTGTTTGATTTATTCATCAATGGAAGTACAGAAAAACCAAAGAAAATATAACCTCAGAAAACAGATTTCCAAAATAATTCCATATAAATATATTAATTTATTTTAAATGTCAAAGAATTTATCAATTCCAATTCTTACTCTTTGTCCCTGAAAATTTTATAGTCATCCACATTAAGTGATTTAAATGAATATCAGTCTCTTAATTATATTTTGTTCCTCTGTTAATTTTGTTTGATGCTGTTCATCAGGGAAGAATACAGCAATTTCATGGAGCTAAACAGTAAGCCTTTTAATTCATAACCTGGCAATGAGTATCTGTTATGGTGCTTAGCATAAGCCCTGGCATGTTAGTTAAGGTTGACTTTCAAACTAATTTAACCTTGGGTTTTATAAAGAGTTAAGAATTTAGTTTGTAAATATATTCAGGATAATGTATGTACTTCTGACCTTGTATTAAAATCATATAGTAATACTGAGGAATATTAATTTGCTTAGAAGAAACTTACACCATACTGTAACTTTTCCTAGATTACCAAACATTATTTACCCAATTACTGCTCATATCTATGTAGCCACTGCTGAGTAGGCAGATTGAGTTTGCCACAATTCCATAAGTTGTGGGAAGTGATCAGTGTGCTCCAGTCCTAGTGAACTTGAAAAAGTCTGATTTCATATCAGGGTTATGGTTTAAAACATAAGGTCTTATAGGTCAAAATAAACATGCAGAATTCACTTGTGTTTATAGCATAATATTTTATATATTCTTGTCTAACCTTTAAGACCTAATAAATGTCCAAATGGAGATAAAGAGGCAGTCTTGAGCCCATGAGTATTTCAGATGAATGGATGTCCATTGTGGATGTAGAGCTGTATTTTAAATGATGAGAAATGGTGACCAATCTTTTGTAGCCACCAACAGTCTGAGGATGCATCATTGTCATAAATTATTCTGCCTATAAGTTTCTTAAATGAAAAGTTACATACAGTCTTATGGTAAGGAAAGGCAGAGACTAGTGATATTTGTCATACATTAATAAAAGGTCCCAGTCATGATTATTTTTTAAGAATTCCCCTGACCCACAATACATACCTAAACATGCTTGTACAATAAATAAACTAAGAGTGTGTTATATGATTTTTTGACAAAGTAGGATGATACTATTATTTTCTCCTACTTTAAGAAAGGTCTTGAATTAATCACTCTGGGTGATAATCCAAGTTTATTAATTTTTGTCTATGTGACCTTGGACAAACTGATAAATCTTCTTTAGTCTTTGTTTCCTCATATGTAAAATGGGGATAATGGAATTATTGTAAGGATTATGTGGTGATTATGTAAAGCAAGTAGTCAATTCTTAAAATAATTCTTGGCTAATTATAAATAGTAACTATCAGCTAATTACCAAAGTCCTTCTTAATCATCTCTGATTAAAAAAATGACTGTCCCTTGCAAGTTTCTTATGTGCATTAATTCTTTCTCTACAGTATTTAATATCTATATGACAATAGGCTGGAGGAATTTAAGATGTGTCATCCCAAGATCTTCTGACATAACGTTAAACTACCTGTACTGCCATGCCACATTTGTGCTCCCTTTCTTAGAGAGAGAGAGAGAGAGAGAGAGAGAGAGAGAGAGAGAGAGAGAGAGAGATGAATGAATATTTGCCATGAACCAAATACTATACTTTCTTATTTATAATCTAATATTTTACCTAATCTTCAAAAAATAATCAAATATGGTAGGTAAAATGCCATTTATAACAGAATACCGAAGTTTTCTTGTGCTCAGTGATTCTTTGTCTCATTTTTAATAAGTTGGGCAATCTAGTTTTAGCCATAGTTTTCTCTAACTTAAGAACATGTGGTTTTCTCACTATATGTCTAATGTCCCTTCTATTTTTGCTCTTTTGTGCCAGAATTTTCTAACTTTTACATTTTGAGTTTGTCTCTAAACCTGTGGTTAGGGTCTTGCTACATGCTTGTTGACCTCACTATTCTACTTGCATATCCACATGTCTACCAGTGCCCAGGCACCATATCTATTCTCTCCCCATTGGTTTGTGATCCATATGGCCTGGTGTTATCCAAATCTGATAGCTTGCCTGTATTGTAAGTACCAGCTAGTCAATAAGCTGTATATATCAATAAGACTCTTCTCTCAAAATTTTACATTTAATAAGACTGAGAAATATGATAGTACACTACTTATAATTGATGAAAATGCCAAATGGCTTGTTATAGATGTATTAGTTTCCTGAGGTTTCTGTAACAAATAATCACAAACTTGGTGTTCAAAAAAAAAAAAGAAACAAACGTGGGGTACGCTGGCAAGGAAATTGTCATACCTACTTGGCTAATGGCTCCCAGCATCTCCCCCCTTCTGATTAATTAAACAACAAGCAATGTGGCTTAAGGACCGTGCCTGGTAGGTTGTCCAATTCAACATATGGTTCTTACCCGTCATCGGAAAACTGACCTTTAGGCGTCAGCCTCCTGTCTTAGGTTGATACCACTGCAATTGGATCATACCCGTCACTGACTACCGGTCCAGCATATAGCCATTGGCCCCCAAATTTTAGACCATCACTAGCAGAAGGGAGGAGGATACAGAAATGCCACAACACCAAGCCAATTGACGACTCCTTGGGAAAAATTGCATCACTGGTGACACCATCAGCAAAGATATGCCAGCATTACCACAATTCGCTGCACCAAACGATAGTTACATAGTTCAGGCAAGTTTTGCAAGCAGTTCAAAGCGGAGGAATCTATCAATATGTCCATTTCCTCCCCAAATCCGTTTCCTCCCAAAGTAAGTTGACTCCTTGATTGAGCATTACTTGTTGAGTTATATTCATTGATGCATCAGTT